AGAAAAGATGGAAATTGGCAAATATGGGTAGGATAACCCACGGCTAAATTGGCGACGTAACATACGCTACAAGAAACAAGTGGTTTAAACCCAGTAGGGAGTGCGTGTACATTCATTTCGTTTAGGCATACACTTTACACAACGGGCGCCACAGAAGACGACAAATGTCCCTTCTGTGGACAAAGCGAGACAAGCGCGCACATGCTGGTCGTGCGACAGATATGATGAATTAAGAATGCAAAAACTCTTTGAAATAGTAGGAAACACAAACTTTGATGTGTACCTGGAAAGCAAAGCCAATTACCTGGGGCTTGTTGGTTTTGCAGCACAAGCCATTAAAATCAGAAATGCAGTACAAAATTAAAACTACAACCTATAAACCAGACTAAAGCTAGAAAATCAGGACTGCCTCCACGTGGTTAGGGATGGAAACGTCAGTCAACTGACAGCCAAAGGTCCTGCACAACACCCACAAGAATAATATTTAAAATTTGAGAAACAATCAATTATCAAGCAGACACTACATAGCAATGAGTGAAAGCTCGAGTTATATGGAATAAGAATAAATGTGTCGCTCCTAGAGGACAAAATTCTAATTGTGGGTTTTACACGGGGGATCAACATATATCTCCAATTCCAATGGTGAACAACATCCATGGGTGCACAATAAGTTAGAATAAAAATGTTTGTGCGATTAATAAATTTAAATAAAATAAATTATTTTATATTTACAATATTTATTTTATTTATTGTATCTTTATATATTTTGAATGTATGATGTATGTTGAATAAATATTCTCTAACTTTTGTATTGTTTTTCAAATATCTATGTTTCGTCTTGTTACATCAAAATTAGATTTAAGATTAGCTAATGATCATTTCTATATAATTTCTATATTTGACTTATGTTGATTCTAATTCATCATTCATTTGCATTATGTTTTAACTTATAGTTATGTGCTATTCTTTTAAATTTCAAGAATTCATATGTTTTATGTATCCAGAATGTTACAATTTTTAGAAAGTTTTTTGATTGAGTTTTTACTAAATTTATTGTGGATTATGTTGAAACATTTCAATTTGCCATTGATATAGTAAAAAAGACATTAATTGTTGCATTGAAAAGCTGAAAAAAATGATTAGGGGTGCTTTCAAAAAATACTCAAACAATAAACGTAGTGAAAGTTGTGTTCATTTGACGCATTTGTTAATACGGTCCACGGTCCACTAGAGTCTAGTGACTGGACAGTCCCACTCAGCCGTCCCAGCCCATGGCATAGGCAATCCACAGTTTTGCTCTATGGCAACTTTCATTGGCAACACGAGTTTCCCTACTATAATAAATTAGATTTTTGTGCAGACGTCCCGGAGTTTATGTAAGTTACTATAATAATGTAGACATTTGTGCCAGTTTGTATCAGAATTCTGATAAAGATATCTTTCCACAAAATAATTATCAGTATTTACAAGTTTGTTTTTATTACATATAAAGTTCTTCATTTTACATACTATCATTACAGTTATTCACTATACCTGGAAAGTTTGGAAATGTTAACAAATGCGCCATCCCTACTGCAAGGGCAAGTGACACGTGGCGTCAAAAACATTTAAATAATTTGTTTTTCATAAAGAAGTTGGACCTGCTAAGTACGGGGCTTCAAGATGAAGATTATATATTAATAATCATGACAAAAATGCAATGTAGAATGTTGAAGAACTTTGGTACTGACAGAGTTTGTATTGATGGTAGTCATGGGACGAATGGATATGGGTATCTGCTACAAACACTGCTTGTGGTAGATGAATTTGGAAGCGGCATACCAGTCGCATTTTGTTTTTCAAATAGGCAAAATGAGTTGATGTGTAAAATATATTTCGAAGAAATTTATAAGGTGGTGGGTATACTTGAAACAAAGGTACGCTACAGCTTATTTTAATGCTGGGTCATCTGTCATGGGTGCGCCACAGCATAAACATTTATGCTCCTGGCATATGTCTAGGAGCTGGAAGAGAGCAGTATCACAAAAGATTGTAAATTGAGAAAAACGTGTAGTCATTTACCTGAAATCAATAGAATTAAAAATGATTTTAGATGAAGATGATTTTTGGAGCAATTTAAATTCTTATTTGAATGAACTTAAGAAAGATGACGATGCTAAATTATTTATTACATATTTTAAGAAATTTTATTACAACCGAGCAACTACTTGGGCGTATTGTTATCGGAAAGGTTTAGGAATAAATACTAACATGTTTTTAGAAAGTTTTCATAACCAAATGAAAACCGAGTTTTGGGAAGAAAGTGTTCTAGGAGGATGGATAAGGCCATTCAATTGGTGTTACGCCTCGAAATGAATGCTTTTATTCAGAGGACCCGTAGAATAAATGGAACATTACTATCGACAAGGCAGAGAGATGTACGAGTAAGACATATAAGATGAGTGGACAGAATTATTCATAGTTCTAACTGTGTATTTAAACTTCGCGCGCGTCGTTCGTATTGTCAGAACGACGCGTTACTGTTATGTTGGCGACATGTCATGCAAGACGCAATGTTCACGTTTTGACATGACTTCCCCGCAATACTTGCCGCTCTTGTACATATACCGCCGAGGAGTAAACATCTTATAAAATATATTAACTTATAATCCATCCAGTGTTTCTTTATACCATAATTTGGTCTTTCTCACGGATAGTCACCAGTGCAAGCTTTATTTTTGAGAATTATTATACACTGTGGTGAGAAAAGTTTTTTTATATACAAGAAGTATTACCGGCGTATATTGTTTTGTTTACGCGTGCGGCATTGAAGTTGTCTATGTCGTTCGTAAACAAACAGCAGAGCAACAAGAATATCCTTAACCAAGCTAGCAGTTCGGACGCTGAAATCGTCGTCGTCACTCAAAGATTTGGGAGTTCCAAATTTTGAGGTTAGGATTCAGCTCGCAGCGCAAGAAAAAGGTATTCATGCAAACACTAATTTCGTACAACTCGACGATCAAGTTATAATCGAGAAGCTTCTACACAAGCTGGGGAGGATATCGTGTTACTAGGATCCCACGTGGAAGACAAAAATTAGGATCAACGCTGACTCGTGTAATTCAAAACACGGGGGTCGTGAGTGATTCAAAATTCTATGCATTGCAGTAACCTCACTATTGTTGCACATTACACATAAGTGTTTATTGACCTTATTCCTGTATTAATTGACTTAGTAATAAGTGTTAAGATTTCTTTATTGCTTTTGTACATTGTGTAGCACGTGTTGTAATAATATTAATTTAGTATAGTATAACTGTCTGGTATAATGGCGGATGCGGATTCATTGGAAGGCACCTATAAAATGATCAAGGCTTTATTTGATGCCATCAACAAATATGTTACTGGATTCCAGGAGGGCGACAATGTAAAGGCTCTCTCTGTTCAGAAGCAGAAGCTTGTTGAACGTATCCACAACTGGGATGAGGTGTACGTCCAGCTTGAAAGCATGTCTCCAGGTGTGTACACTAATGAGTACCTTAAATACTCGGAATTATACTTTGATATGATAGCTGAGATAGAATCAACTATTGAGTATAGTGAGTGGACAGCCTTTATTGACATTTTTAATTCATCGATTCATAATAATTCAAAATTAGCGCCAGTGCAGAAATTGCACTATTTAAAAGGTGCTCTCACCTTATCAGCTTCAGAATTAATATCTAGTATAAGTGTCACAAATGAAAATTATGCAGTAGCATATGATCTTGTAATTAAAACTTACAATAATCAATTTTTAATTGTCAATGCTCACTTGCAGAGCATTGATAGCATACCTGTAATACAAAAGGGCAGTCATGAGAGGTTGAGAGCTCTTTTGAATAGTGCAAGACAACAAATTCAGTCATTGAAAGCCTTCTTTGAGCCTGCAGCACATTGGGACATTATCTTATTGCATATGTTGTGTAGGAAGCTTGACAGTGGGACAAAAGTGGCTTGGAATCTGTCTCGGGCGTCAGGGCAGTTACCTTCTTTGTGGAGTTGGAAGTGGAGTTCTTCACATTTCTTGAACTCCGGGTAACAGCCTTGGAGAATTCGTGTAGCACAGACAGCAAACCAACCACCAAGTCTGTTCATACAATTGTTAAGAAACCTACACAACTGTGTAGTTATTGCAAAAATGAGGACCATGTGCTGATAAATGCTCTACTTTTAAGGCACTGGATGTAAAGGCACGTAAGTTTTCTATTAATAAAAATTCGATTTGCTCTCGTTGTTTGGCTTCTCGACATAATGTGGCTAAATGTAAATTTAGATATGATTGTTCAAAGTGCAAAGAATCGCATAATACTTTGCTACATGAAGAACCTGAGCCAATGCCCAGCACTTCAAGTAGTACTGTATGCATGGCAAATAATACGGGGATGCAAACATTATTATCTACGGTTTCTCTCATTGTTATGGGCACCGACGGAACCCAACATAAGGTGCGAGCGTTGTTGAGTGGGTCACAAATCAACTTAATAACTTCCTCGTTGTTAGCAAAATTGAAATGCCCGGTTAGTTCATCTCTGCATAAATTGAGTATGTTACAGGGGCAGACTGTTTTGTGTGACAAGGCTGTTAAGTTGACAATAAGATCTAGATTAGGGTCCTTTGCTCGTACTATTAATTTTGTAGCTGTTGACAGGATCACCCAGTCTCTGCCTTCTGCGTTTATAGATTATGATAACTGGAAGATTCCAGATAATGTTGATTTAGCGGACCCAATGTTCAATGTTCCAGGGTCAGTTGACATGTTGATAGGGGTGGAGTTATATTTTGAAGTGCTACAGCAAGGTTGCATTCGTTTAGGGAACCACCTACCTATCCTAAGAAAGAGCTGCTTTGGTTGGCTGATCTCAGGGGTATATACTTCAAAAACTCAGGAAAATGTGCATGTTTGATTTATTTCTAATGAAGACCTGCATAACAGTCTGACCAGGTTTTGGCGGTTGGAGGAGGTATCCTCTAACTATACAATGACCGGGTCTGACAAGTTATGTGAGGATCATTTCCTCTCTAATGTTTCACGGCTTGAAAATGGTCAATTTGAAGTAGCTCTACCCTTTGTAGATGGCAAAATTGAGAAACTAGGATCATCGTATTTAGGTGCAAAACATAGGTTTTTGAATTTAGAGAGGCGGTTTTCTAAAGATAGTATTTTGTTTGCAGCATATTCACGGTTTGTGAATGAATACATTGAACTAGGGCACGCTGAGCAGATATCACTTACTCAGGATGAAGTAATTCAAAATAATTTATATTTCTTGCCACATCACCCTGTTGTGAAGGATAATAACTTCAATAAGATTAGAGTAGTTTTTGATGCTTCGGCGAAATCTTCCTCTGGTGTCTCGTTGAATAATATTCTTCACACTGGCCCTAAATTGCAGCAGGATTTGTTTTCTATCTTAGTTCGATTCAGGTGCCATCAGTTTGTTTTTGTGCCAGACATTGTGAAAATGTATCGCCAAATAAAAGTTAAGGATACTGATCAGTTATATCAGTTGATCTTATGGAGGGGGTCACCCCAGGAAACCTTAAAGATTTTCAAACTCACCACGGTAACATATAGCACAGCTAGTGCTCCGTACCTGGCAATGCGCTGTTTGAAGATGCTGGCGCAAAATTATGCGTCAACATTTTCACAGGCAGCACAAGTGCTAGATACGGACTGCTATGTTGATGATATCATTACAGGTGCTGATACTGCTGATGAGTTGGTTAAGATACAAAGGGAAGTTGTACAATTGTTAGATGAAGGGGGGGTTTGAACTGTCGTGAAGTTTTACAAACTATCCGAAAGGAAAGTCAAAGCTCTGCTATGGCCTTGTTTTCTGAAGCAGACACTGTTAAAACCTTAGGGCTTGTGTGGAATCCTTCACAGGATGTTTTTAAAATAGCGCATATTAAGGTTTTAGAAGCAGACATTAGACAGGGTGTTGACACAAAACGATCTGTATTATCAACAATTGCACAGATTTATGACCCAATTGGGCTCATATCTCCAATATCTGTAACTGCAAAGTTGATAATGCAGGAGTTGTGGAGGCAAAACCTTGGTTGGGACGAGACTTTGTCGCGAGAGTTACAAGATAGGTGGAATGTTTTTAAAGTTCATCTCTCTGATCTAGAGAATCTCAGTATTCCCCGAAATATTTTTAAGTCAATTCCGGTGACAATTCAATGTCACGGATTTTCAGACGCCTCATTGTATGCATATGGTGCCTGCATTTATCTAAGGGCAACATACGCAGATGGCACCTTGTCATCAAGGTTACTTTGTTCGAAATCGAAAGTAGCCCCATTAAAAAATGTGACGTTGCCTCGGCTAGAATTATCTGCGGCTTTGCTCTTAGCAAAGTTATTTAGGCAGATGATGACGATCACAAAAATCCCAATTTCGGAGTCGTTTCTATGGTGTGACTCAAGCATTGTCTTGGCGTGGTTAAAGACAGATCCGTCTCTATTGAAAATGTTTGTTAGCAATAAAGTGGCGGGAATGGCCCCGTAAGTATACATACAATTTATATATTGGGCATTGTTAATTTATTTACAGCATAATGAAAAGTTTTGCTGTTGTTCGGACGACTAAGTACACAATGGAGGTTCCTTCCAAATGGTTGATAGTGGAAAATAATTATTCTGAAAATATAACTGAAGTGTGGTGGCCCCCTGCCTGTATGAAATATCGCATTTCGTCTTTAGCTGCGAAGCAAACGTCAGTGAACAAGTCGGAGTGGATTAGAAGAAAAATAACTTTTGTCGGGTTATATGGTGAGAAATAACTTAAATATGAAGTATTGAAATGTTGGAAGCTTTATTGACTTCGATATTTGTTCTAGACACATATATGTCAGCAAGGAAGCACGCAGATGATTCGGAATATGCCTCGCAAGAGGAATTAGGCAAGGGGCATAGGAAAAGAAAGGCTGCAGTCATACCTGAATCAGAAAGCGACACTTCGGATGGTGAAGGTAATAAATTACTACAATTTCAAAATATATTTTATATAATATTTTTATATTATAATGTACAGATGCAGCTGTAGCAGGGCTTCCTGACCTCGTTGACTGGAAGCTATTGAGGTCCAATTCCGGCCTCAGCGTAAGAGTTATAAAAAAAAATCGTGATCATATAAAATATTATATATTTTCAAACAAATTTGTTCTTAATGCAGCTACTACGGGCGGATGTGTGGCTAAATCTCAATCGCATGGAGTTGCTGAAGCTCAATCGCATGGAATGGAAGATGGTCCAATGCATGGAGTGGAGGCTCTCCCAAGCAGAGGACGGGAAGCTGCTTGCAATTGCATTTTTTTAAAAGAAGTACAGATGCTCAAAGAGCGTTTCTTGATTATTGAATGTGAGTAAAATGTGACTCATTGTTTATGATGTTTTCCTAACATCTATTTCTGTTACAGCTCTCTTTAGAGTTGCCTTGCCAGGCGTTGACTGCAAAATGGCTAGCATGAATAAAATAATGCAGGATTGGGACAGACCAAGACAATCTGATTTATTTTGACATAATTTTTATTTGATTTCAGCAACTCTTGATTTAAGTCTAAATCGTTTGATAATCTTGGAGAAGGCCAGCGACCAAAAAAGCAATTCGATCCACCGTACATTGCACAAAAAGGAAACAAATGTTTCCGATACTTTATTCCCTTTGAAGACTACTGTAAATGATGTCGAAGTGGTGGAAAAAAATGGGCGATAAAAATGGGAAAAAATGGAATCTGATCTGGTATAAAACATATGAAATTATTTAAAAAGAAAAAATTAAATTTTATAAACGCATTTTTTAAATTACAGGCTGATTTTGTTGCATGAGTGTGATCATGCCATAAATGTTTTAAGAAAAATGTTCACAGATGAATTAGCTATGAAATATTCAGGGCTAAGAAGAAAAAGTAACTCCATTACCAATAAAAGACTTGTCTATCATAAATCTAACAATTATTAATCCATCACCAAATTGTTCCAAAACAGCAATATAAAACCTACTTTGCACAGCATGTCCTACATTGAAGGCTTATTTGGTTATTTTGCCAAACTACTCAAAGAAGAAGATATTTTTATTTCAGGAATAGCTTTTATATTCTTTTAAAGAAATGTTTTCAAAAATTAAATCCACCACCCCTCCTAAATTTAATACTAACATAGTTTATTCAATCTCTTGCAAAAATTGTCAAAAACAATACATTGGCCAAACATCACAATATATCCATAAGAGAATTAGACAACACGAATTAAGGCGTCATTCATCATAAAAGCCAAAGTTTCCAAAGCACTCTTATCCAACATTCCGTTGAAAATTTACATATTTTTACCTTTGAACCCAATATTTTATATAGGGAGGATTGTACTTTTAAAAGACTTTTCTGATAGCAGTTTAATCTTTTTGAAGTTGAAGCAACGGAAATATATTTTTTAGTGGGGAAGTTTTTACTAAATTAACTCACACATATACTGCACAGTATTCTGTGACAGCATCAGGTAAACTGCTTCCTAAAGTGTTTTTATGTTTGCGTGAGCCAGCGGGCGAATTTGGCCAAACAGTACCGTCAAAAATGGAAAAAACATGCCTGAACTGGGAAACGTTTTTTTAACCGCTTCTAAAAGTGGAAAATTAACAAAAGGACATTTTGTGTCATACATAAACAATGTTCTAGGGCCCTATGTGGAAAATAACAAGTTTTTGCTGATAATTGACTCATGGGATGGTCAGACAGACAGCTTTATTCAATAATAATTTTACGAACGAGGATAGAGAAAATACAAAATTGTTATCAAATCACGCAAATTGAAAGGGGATTGAATAGAAAGAAGACACAGTGAAAATACATTCTTTAATACATCACCAATTATCCGCTGTTGTATTTCAAAAAATGATCAGATACGCATGGTTTGTGAGCAAATTAGGAAGCACTAGATATGCTTTCCAGGATCTGTAGGTAGAGCCAAATGTTTATGTAATGCTGCAGAATTTTTAAAGCGTGCTCACTGCAATATATTTTTATTGTTTTTCATGCTTTTATGATAAATATCATCCAGCAAATTGTAAGCCTTGAAATTTTTATTTTATATTATTATTTATCTGTGTTTTATATTATTTTAGTTTAAATACATATAATTTATAAAAAAAATGTATTATTTTAATATGCAATACAAATATATTTATTTTCATAATGATTTCATAAAAATCTACTATTTATAAATTTCACATAGTTTCGCACTTACAATATTTCTTAATACTACAAAAACCACCACACTAGATAAAAAAAGTACTCTGAAGGAAAGCTGGTGAAAGAAGTATTTCCACCTCGAGTATCTGTTCCTTTACGCGGTGTTGAAAACTATAGAAGATTTAAACATAGATTAGTATAATCGGCTCCTTCATGAAAAAATGAAGTGATGGCTGTGTAAGTGTTCTCTTTTATCTTATTGTTATCGAGGAGCAAGATTCATTTTCCCTAGGCTAGGATAAATTCTGTGAGCCATGGCCATCGAAATTTTATAATTCGCATATTGTATTATCAACTGCACAAATAATGATTCGGTCTTTATTTTACATACAGAATTTCTGCAAGTCAAAGAGTAGGAGTATTGAATCTGTAATTAATGCTTTTTTGAATTCCAGAGATCCCATTGACCCAATTAATTTGCATAGTCAAAATTTGCGACGTTCCTCTAAATCAATTCTCAAAAAATGCAATTTATTAAAACTAGATGATCGTTTGTATTTGACCAGTGCCGCAGAAAATGAGAAGAATTAATGGCAAGGATTCAAGGAGAGCTACTATCTTACAACTATTCGAATTAAGAAGTAACTTTTTAAATCGTATTATAAATGTTTTTTTTTTCAATAAATATAGGTTTTGTTGTAAAGCAAGAAATCGAGTCAGATAATATAACCATTAAAAACGAGGATATTCAGCAAGCCGAAAGAGCGGAAGACAACGACAATGATTTACTAAAAGTTGATAAGATGTATGTATTTCGCAAATATGTTCTTAAACGGTTATTCATACTGATTAGTTTTTGGTAAAGTTCGGCCGCATCGTTTTTTCGTAATTACTCGAACCCAAGGCTATAGAAGTATTGAATTTATAATCAATGCCTGTTTTTTAATAACAGAGATCCTATTGACCAAGCAAAAGTAAATATGCAGTATGGATTTGAACTCGAATCCAAGGCTATAATAGGAATATAATAGAAATATAGAGTTAAGCAATAGGCATTTGTATTTTACGCAAAAGGAAACATAGATGTGTGAGTGCTCTATGAATGTGATTCATTTGTTTGGTCACCGGAGTATATGCCTTGTTTTACTGCATAAAAATAATAGTGCTTGCAACTTAACAAACAGTATTTTTGGGAATTTATTGTATTTTTATATGCAAGGATGAAGAGTTTCTCCAAAATCTCATACCAAAACTGAAATGTATTTAGTAATAATGCAATTTGGTATTATGTATCTGCTAAAAATGAAATGCTCTCAATATTTTTTCCTTCAGAATAATTAAAGTACATGCAAGATTAAGTATTGATTATTGATTTTCACGTATAAAATGATTTTCAACTATTATATGAAAAATTAATACACAGTTAAACTACTATACAAGCTACATACTTGCATTATTTCACATACTTTAGTTTTTGAATGTAAATTTGTTCCACTGAATTAGGCTTAAAGACGAAAACTCATGGATTCTAAAATGAATTTTTCAAGTAAATTCATGATTGTATTAATGATATGCCCTAGCTATAGATATATGATTAAATGTATGTAAATGCTTTCATTGATCGCTTAAATAGCAAATAGCAATTTGTATTGAATTTGAAATTGATGCTATTTCCATCATAGTTAATATAAAAAATCTACTATATAAGATCCCAAGGTCAGCTAATAATGGTTCATAAGTTCCATGCTGGTGGCAAACAGCAAGTATTAAGTATCAAGTTCAAATTCGATATTTTTTCTTTTGAAACATTTAAAGAAATCATTACTATAAACTTATTACATTGAGTATCTGTTAACGCACTTCAATTTAAATTCCTTAATCAATTCAGGACTTTTCATCTAATCATAACAATTGAAAACAATGTAAAACTCGATTTTTAAATTTTTAAAAACTGCATCTATATATATATATATATATATATATATATACACATATATACCCACATTCATACATATACATATGCCAAAATTTATTGGGATACTTTAGTAATGAATAAGTACAATATTCTATCACAACTTCCGATAAACTCTATAGCAGCGAGCAAATTTTTTCCAAAAGAATTATTACAGTGCAAAAGTATATCTTAAAGTGGGAATATGTAAACATAACAGAAATTTCAGACATTATGAGAATTTTACATAGTAAGTCAAGTTTTTGTTAATATTAATTTTAGGAGGTGACCAGAAAGCAGAGTACCGTCTAAGTATAGTAGAGACTATGTGAAGAAAAAAATTATGAAGTTAATCATGTGAGGTTTACTTTTGAACATAAGAAAATATAAAATAGTTGCAAAATTAAAAATTGATGATAGTAAAATGACAAACAAATAAGAGAACTGGACCAAGGACCATAAACAATGCTACATAAGTTTAATCTGTTCCATAGAAAGTTTAATTTAATAATTGAAATTATCAACAGCATATCATCAACAACCATATTTGTTAGCAATTATAAAATTTGTGAATCGTAAACTAACAGCTAAACTCATAATTATACAGACAACATTTGCTGATAACTGTTAATAAATATATAGACATACTTTTTACTTGTAGGTTCGGACAATAAAAGCAGATCAAATGTCTAGAATTTCATTCATGAAATTCTGGAAACATGTGCATTTAAGTGTTTCGTAAAACAATTTTGCTATTACTAAGCATTTTTGATAATACTAATCAGGATTATATCCAACGCAATAAATAACTTGCAAGTACTTACTTGCTAAAAATTATTACTCAGTGTACCTTGCATGGCTATAAAATGTAGGATGATTTTGTTCGGCAAAACATTCACATGGCTCTCCATTATGTTGGATAAAATTTCTTCACCGACACCTGAAAGTTAAGAATATTATACTAATTCATATATAGAAATAAAATATTTTAAAATAGTCTCAAAAGGAAAAAAAATTAATGTCAACTACAGTGTTAAAATAGAATATGCATTAGTTATAGCGTTTCTATGAAATTGGAAATGATATCAATAAATAAAGTAAGTGCGTATGTACATAATAATCATAAATAAAACAAACATTGTGTTTTATATTAAATCAACCGCGTGTTGCAACAAAAGCATGGAAAGCACCAACATTTTTAACGAATATTTCACATTGAAAATCAAAGCGAATACGAAATAGAACGCTGTCAAAATTTTTGTTTCACGTCTTGAATTAACAATTCATCAAAATACTAACCAAAAATCTGCAAACAATTTTATCGCCAATTTATGCCATTTGATTATTTGTCCACCAAAGCACTAAATTGAAATAAAATAGAAAAAAACACCAAAACATAAACACGCCAAAACACAAATACATTGAAACTAATGCGCAGCACGAAGCAACTAATGAACCCACAGAACACGTGACTTGAACACGACCACAGATTAATAGATGCACTCACTCGACTAGACGCAGGTCTGCCAACGGAGGCAAAATGTCAATGGCGCCAGATACAAGCTCATCTTTTGCGGAGTGAATGCTCGTATAGAAATCTCTCCTTGCATTATATTGAGCTTGGCTAATATAATATGTCAACAATTGTAAATCTGTAGATAGTTTTTATATTAAAATAAATTATATTTTTTTATTCTTAGTATTGTTGTTATTGATATGTAATTATAATTTTACAAGTAACACAAAAATATTGAATGAACAATAATCTTAACTAGTGCTTGAAGTCAAATTGCTGGAACTTTCCGTATCAAATATTACTTTTTTTTAATTTTATCATTTTCTTAAAATTTCATAAAAATCAGTTTTTGATTTTTTTTATATTCTTATGTTTTTTCGAAAACTAACTTTTTTTATAGCAATCGTACTACGCCGATGTTACTTAGACAAAATATTTAAGCGCGTTGGCGCCGCGTCGCAGCCTATCAACGAATATACATTGGTATGCAACCCATAAAAATGTAAACAAAATTTGAAACTATTATGAAAATCTCTAAAAAGTATCTGATATAGATGACTCTCAAAGCAAGGACTCGAATTATCAGATGAAAAGAGCTCAATAGGAGTTTTTTCAAGGCGAAGAAAGCTAGAGGAATCACTAACGACTGAATATCACAGAATTAAAATACAAGAAACCTTTAAATTCTTGGGTGTCACTTTCTACAGAAGATTATCTTTTAAAGCACATATAGATCAGGTCATCAAAAAAGTTGAAACAAAAAATATTTTGCGAATATAGGTAATAGATTTGTTAATATAGCATAGTAGAGAGCTCACCCTACAACAGCTCTAAACTTATACAAAACATTAATTAGACCACCATTAGATTTTAGAAGTCTAGTTTTCAATAATTCCTCACATTGCAGGAAGCTAGGCAAAATCCAATACAAATGTTTGAGATTATGTATAGATGCAATGATCTCCACACCTACAAACTATAGGCGTTTATATTAGCAGATGGGTCAAAACTTAAAAAATAAACCTGCCTGTGCAATATTTTTTGAAAAACAAATATCAGAATAGGATATTAACTCCCAGACTTTGTTTCAGTTTGGCCAGCAGAGTTAATAGCCATAAAAAAGCAATCGAATTCGTCGAAAGTATCAAATTCACTAAAGCGGGTATTGTCACTGATAGCAAAAGCTGCTTAGACAAACTGAAAAATCTATTTTCACAAATTGAACATTACAATATGAAGTCTACAATAACTAGACTTATATACTATACTAAATAAATCTGTTGGAGCACGGTCATATGGTTAAATTATTATGAATAAGATCCCAGCTTGGTATTAGAAGCAACAAAAAAGCGTACACTATAGCAAAATGGGTGGAACAATAATCCACGCAGCCACAGTGAATAACTACTATATGATTAATTTTGAACAAAAAATATTTGACAAATAGCAAGAAGAATGGAATAGTTCGTCGGAGACAAGGGGACGATATCGCTGTAAAAGAAATCATGGTTCCGGAAATTTGTAAATGGAAACAGAAGTACAATCGTATCATTAACGAGATTGAGATTTAACGATGGCAACTTACCCGCACATCTGAAAAGGCTAGGAGTAAAAGTATCAGAATCGTGTCAATATGGAGCACCAATTGGATCAACTGAACACATAATACTAGAATGCAGTCTATTTGAGGAAAAAATGACAAAATTGTTAGAGGAACTGCACCCCACAAAAACGCTAATCAAGCCCTTCAATTTGTCATCATTATTACAGAATTTAAATTGTTATCCTCACATATTTAGGTTTATTAATGAAAGTAAAGTAAAGATATAAGTGAATAATATTATATGTATGTGACTTGTGTCTAAACTAACTTCGGTTAAAGTAAAACACTTACCACATGACATTGTAATTTCAGCCGAGGCATAATTTGAAAAATCATCATTTTCAAGAATTTTTCGAAACTGTGGGTAATAGATTTGTAGTTGGAAGAGACTTCAACAGCAAGCATACAAATTGTGGTCACGATTAGTGAATCACAAGGACTAAAAATTCAATAAATTTATTCAACAACAAAATTATACAACTATTTCCACAGTACATACTGGATTCAGCAAGAATACCTGACCTTTTGGATTCCTTCATAGTTTCTGGGATCATGGCTCATAATTATTTATATTTTTATTTATCATCCAACCACTCAATCAAGCTCCGACGTTGCATAATATCAATACTTACTGGGAATTTTATATCGAAGTATTATTGAAAAAAAAAAGTTAAAAAAAAGTCAATTTACAAACTCCAAGTTGAACAATGATATTGAACTTGATAATTTTTAAACAAAACATGAAAATGCGGTCAAATCCTTAACAACAAACATAAAAATAGTAGTTAAAAATAAAATTTCCACTATTAGTCTTAAATTAAGATTGATAGCATCAAAGCGGTAAACAAAAAAAGATGGCAAACTTCACATTATTCACCTGATAAAAAATTCTTAATGAATTAAGTAATACATCAAAACTCAAAATTAAAAAATGGAATGAAAATAGCTCTAATAATTATAAAAAACTTAACAGATTTGATAACTATGTGTGAAAGCATTGAAAGATACTGAAATCAATATCTTTATCGGATTATTCATATTGTTATAAAATTATAAGAAGGTTATGGAAAGTTTGTCTTGTAAAAGTTTTATGTAAATTTAAATATACTTAAATTTTGAAATATTTCGAAAAATTAAAATTTAAAAAAAATTAGAGCAAATCTTGAATTTTTTTGAAAATATTTAGTTTTTAGAAAAATTCGAGTTTGAACATTTTTAATTAAAACAATTTTTTGAAAATTTTGAAATTTTTGAAAACTTACAAGAAAAACGAGACAGAAGTTGTTCTGAAATCTGTTTCCGATCTGTTTCACATTGCTAGGCAAATGGTTATACAAAGAAATTTGTTAAGGATACTGCCGTTGTGAATAGCTGGCATAAGTGGGAAATGTGGCTGGCAAGGTCGTAAATTATAGTATATATTATCGATGCTAGATAAAGTGTGGCATGCACTAGCCAAGAAATCTGGCGTCGTGTGCAACGGGTTTAACCTATAAATAATATTGTTTAGCGTTTGTTATTTTTTATATTCCCTCATCGATCATAGTAGTCCCCACTTATGATAGTAAATTACTTTTTGTCTACAAAATTGCTAGAACTTGCCGTACCGTAATTAGTAGATTAGTTTTTGTAACGCTAATAGGCTGAATCAACACATAAAAGTCTACAGTTTTTTTCCTTGCTGAAAAGCAAAATTGGTTTTTTCACTGGTGATGGTTTTTCACTGGTGAGTGCAATGCATTTTACTAAGTACTCAAATTTATATATACCTCACTAACTGTCTTTATCAGATCCCTCATCCAGATGTAGTACCCCTATAGGCACAGCCATATTAATGCAATTCGGTCCTTCCGATATCAATAGGAGAAGCTTTTTGATATTGTAAAGTTTACAATATCAAAGTAATGTAAAGTTAACAATGTAAAGTAACATTGTAAACAATGAAAATTTCATTAAAGGATATCAACACGAAGCTCTGAATTTATAATTGTAATACAATATACACAATTTACATTAGAATCTATGGAAAATTTAAAAATATTTTTGCAAGATCATCGAAATATTATAAGAATATCCTAATAACAGCAAAATAACTGAGCAAATAGGTGGATGGAGAACAAGAATTTAAAGGTGGTTCGGAACAACGTGCAAGAATTTAAAGGTGGTTCGGAAGTGCGACAACGAAAGAAAAAAACGACCATTGGATTATAAGCTCTCCGACGAATCGCCAAGATTTCCATTAGATAAATGTAAAATTATTGTGTTTTAGGTGCTTTTAGATGTTGAAATGTGTTCGACAAACGATCGCTTTCAACAATTAAGGATCGATTTTAAAAAATCGATTTTTCAAATAAATTGCAGGAAAATAATACAGAGCTTTAAGAAAGCATTGCAGTGATTTAGAAGTTATTTTAAAGGACGGCAACAGTAGAAATATAAACTCAATAGAATTTTTTGCATTTCGTGATATTTTTCAGACAATCGATTGTAATAGCCGAAAACAATTTGATATCCTTAATCATATAGTGTACGATAATTTAGCATTCCCTAATTTTTAAATTGCCTTGAATACTCATAACTTTACCTGTTTGTGTAGCAAAGTGGTGCACGTAGTTTTTCGAAATTGAAAGTAATTAAAACTCACATAAGAACTAATATGTTATAAGATAAGCTGAATAGTTTGGCGTTATTTAGCACTAAACATGGGAATGATTTGGGTTTGCTCGGTGAGTGGAATCGATGGACGTTGAAGAGTGACCATCAAATTGTAAATTAAAAAAAAGTATGGTTTCCCGTCTTTAATGGATGAGAGTGTCTTCAGCCCAACCATGTTATAAATAATTAAATCTCACGTGACACTACTTAATCCCGTTAATCCCGTATACATATTCCCTCTATAGCGGAAGACAGTGCAAAATGTTTAAATTGTGCGATGAGCAATTAATCGACCCATTAAAACAGTCTCAAAAAATGGGTCGCTCAAGGAAGAAAAAAATTAATAAGAGAGCGTACACAAGCAACGAATTTCGACAACTGATAAATTCAAATAATAGCACCGACGACCCATCTAAACTGGAGTTATCAAATAGATTTGCAGCCTATCGATCACAGATTCAGATCCGGATACGGAAACCAAAGAACTAATGGAAACCGCCAATACAATCATCAAAAATAGAGCACAGAAAAATAACTTCGAAGGAAGTACAAAGAAAAGAGCTACTTTATCATCCAAAGCAGCAACATCTAAAAACGTTGTCAGAAAGACAAAACTCCCGCAAAATACGAGTGACGACTAAATTGGC